TCCGGTCCTACGGGCCTGGGTATATTCCACCTACTTGGCTAGGCCAGTGAGGACAGCAACTGTAGCCATTGATTCAGACATTGGTCAGAGAAGGAAAGCGAAGGGACAGGAGTCAGTAGAACTGGATTTTCACAAGCTTGGGATTCACTCACTGTGAGAGCTGGCGGAATCCTCTAGCTCCTCCTCTCCACCGTCTTGTCCGTGTGGTAGGACTCTTCAGTGCTCCCTGTTGGCCTCACAGACCACAGCCAACAAGGTTGGCTGCCCACTCAACAGCCACTCCACCAGTTCCATCTCCTCGTCCTTGCTGGATGACCCATGAGTCTGTTTGGATGCTCAGGAAAATGGTCTTTTTACAACACCAGTGATGATTCAGCTGGAGAAGGGATGTAAGGTGCCACCTTGGCCAGTATATTAGCTGAAGGGGTAAGGGCTTCTGGGAAAGGTTTCTTCTCCTGATAAAAGTTGATCCGTGAGGAGAAACTCCTTTTTTCTTCTTATAGAGCTGGGACCACATTGCAGTCTCTGAAGGAAACAGCAGATTTTGTCCCAAGTTAGAACAGGTAGCTTTCATTCACGTAAATATCAAAAAGAATGGAAACCTTTTGTCAGAAATGATTCAGGGATTACTGTCTTGGGGTGGAGGGCGGGGATTAGAAAGGAGGAAGTTGAGATAGAGGACCTCTAAATCAGGTCCTGTCATGAGCAAGTAGAATTGTGTGCTAATTTTTCTTTTGTTGTTTTTGTTGGGTGCCCTCAGTAGATTCCAGCTCATAGCAACCCCACGTGACAGAGTAGAACTGCCCCATAGAGTTTTCTTGGCTGTAATCTTTATGGAAGCAGATTGCCAGGTCTTTCTCCTGCTTAGCTGCTGGGTAGGTTTGAACAGACAACCTTTCAGTTAGCAGCTGAGCGCTTAACCATTTGCGCCAGAGAGAATTTTTCTCTAGAGTTTGCCCTATTATGAAGTTGATGAAACTGGCCTAACTTAATAAGAAATAAAGTCAACCTTTCACTTCATGTTGGCTCTCAAACTATCCCCTGTTTTCTACTTCCCTTGCCCATTGGACTCAGGCTCTTCCCCCTCCTGGCCATGCATTCCCCCTTACTCCTTCTCCTTAATAATCTGGAGGCCAGGTTTATAATGTCAGCTTTTCTGTTGCTATCCTGCCCTCTGCTGGATTAGGAGAGGGATTGCAGAGACATGGATTTCTGGGAAGGGCCAATTTTCTGGAAAGGGGGTGTGATCAGGAGACCAGATTTCCCTTGAGTCACTCTAAGCCATTTGTTCACCAGAAATTAGGTCCAGGAGGCTGTAATCCAGCTTCATAGTGTAGGGTGGGAAGCTTCCTGGAAAATACAACTGACTAGTTTAGAAAAGGTTAGAAGTTGTCTGTGTGCACCTGTTTCAGTTTCTTTGCTCATAAAGAGATGGAGAGATAGTGAAAGAGAGATCTCATTTGTCTACCATTAAAAACAAAATTTCCTAGACAAATTGATTTTTAGGACTTGCTAAAGTTGATCAACTTCCTAACAAGGGATCACAAGGTGACAAGTGTGCCAGTTCGGAGGAGTATGGAAATTGATGGGTTATGTAGTTGGGATACAGAGGACTTATATAAACAGCTAGTTAAAGAGAGGGGGGAAGAGTAAATCTCTAACTAGGTAAAGATTGTAGTCTCATTACAAGTGGCTGTGAAATGTCATATTCAAGTCAGTTATTACAGAGGGAGTATGGATTAGGAGAGTCTGCAATGCCAGGAGTATTGGCTGTCAATTAGCAGTTAAAAAATCCAAGATTAAGATCAAAAGAGGGAAAATCCAGAACATAACTTCAAAATCTCATGGAATCCAGACTTTCTGGAGCCATGGAGGTTAGGTGAACCCCTGAAGCTATTGCCCTGAAATAATCTTTAAACCTTAAACCTTCAACCAAAAATATCCCCTGGTCTTCTTAAAACCAAACAAAAGTTTAGCATAACTACTTAAGAATGTCTGCCTTGAGCATTGTCCTCTTTCAAGATCTATCTATATGGGATCAAACTGACAATAGCAACTTGAAAGATTAGATAGGAAATTTAGGGGACAGTGAGTTTATGTTAATTGGGGAGGAACAACTCAGAAAAGGAGAGTGAGAATGGTTGCACAACTCAATGCTATCAATGTCACTGAATTGTACATGTAGGAATAGTTGAATTGGTTATGTTTTGCTGTGTATATTCTCAACAACAACAACAAAAATACAACACGTTATTTAAAAAAATCCAAGATAAAAAAATTCAGTACGACTGCAATGGGTTTTTTTGTTTGTTTTGAAGAAGCAATGGATGAGGATACATTTGTGGCTGTTAACTCTAAAGACAAGTTTAATTTTTTAAGAGTGGTGTATGATGGTCCCATTGAGATAGATGCACAAACCAGAGGCACAGCACCGAGTCACAAGTATTGAGTTGAAATAGGCCACTTGCCACCAACAAGCAATACAGACCAAATACAGAGTTTATCCCTTTTATTTATTTATTTATTTAGTTTAGGATAAACATCTTTCTCTGAAATTAGTATTATCAAGGATTGAACTCTTCTACATAAGTTAATCTTCCAGATGACTGAGATTTGTACCTTTAAGTAATTGTAACTTTTCATTTTGGATTTAAATAATGCAGAAAAATGAAGAGATTAAAAAATTAACCTAAATCCCATTAACCAAATGTTGGGTGAACATCATTCCAACTAGCCTTTATGTGTACATACAAATAGGAGATTGGATGTATATATAGCTAGATAGGTAGATAGATACAGAAAGAGAGAACAAACAGACTCACAATTTATTTTTTGAGAATTTTTGGGCCAAACATATTTTGAAATTCATAATTTTTTGTATTTTGGAAAGACAACACGTTGTATGTCTTATAACATCCCCTGCAGGGTCTAGGGAAGTACTCTATAATTAGATAAATTAACATTTCTGCATATGAATATTCAGACTAAGAGAGATTTATAAAAGACTACAAATAACCTCACTTAAATTCAGGACAGATTCTTCAGCCAAATGACTTTATTCAAAAAAAAAAAAAAAAAACAGCTTTTTAGATTACAGAATTGGAGGAATTGTGGAACTGTACTTTCATAAAATGGTATCACATAATACATGCAACCTTTTAGAGAAAATTCTATCAATTTAATCATACCTGTAATTGGCCAAAAGAAAAGAAACTAAAGTGAAATCAAAGGAAATGCTGAACTTTACTTAAATATTTCCTTTTCTTTTTTATTGTGGTAAATATATATGTAACAAAACATCTGCCATTTCAACATTCTTCAGATGTACAGTTCAGAGACATTAACTATGTTCATCATGTTCAATTATCACCTTTATTCTTTCACAATTGTTTCCATCATACATGAATGTTCTTTATAACAAGAGATATTATTTTCTTAAAGATATTTCTAAGATTAAGAAAAGAGACAAAGAAAAACATTAAGAGTTTGGAGACATTATGTTGGAATCATTTCTGATGGGGATCTTCCCAACATGTTCTCAGTACTATCAGGCCAAAGGCTCCCCCAATATTTTGTAACATTCTCTTTAATATTCTGAGATGAAATTCATAGATAATGTAATCTACTTACACAGATAATGAAAAAAAATCAGTGTAATGGCTAATACGTAGGAAAAATAAAAAATTAATTTGTCATAAAATACAGTAATATGTATTTTAATATTTAAACCCTTAAACATTACTACTAAAGTAATAATGAAACAACGAGATGCTTGCATCCATGTACATTGAACAAGTTTGGACTTAACAGGAGTCGAAGAGAACCCATTCCCTTCAGAGTGAAAGAACAAAGGTACGGTGAATACTAGAATAAAACATAGCATTAAGTAATTATAGAGCAAACATATTTGTATAAGTGAAATAGGAAAGTAACCGTAATTAAACTAAGAATAACATGACAAGTTACTAAGTAGAAAAAAGGAAGACAGGTGCTATTGTTGCAAATGAGCTGGGCCTGCTTTCCAAGGAAAATGTTACAATAATTTTCTATGTTGTGTCATGGGATGGGCTAATGAAAGACATCTTATAACCTATCTTGATATCTTACCACATGTTGAGGCAAACATTTAGATTCTAAGAACTTTGAGACCATGTCCTTCAAGAGTGGATGGAAAATAGACGATTTGAATAAAGAAGCAGTATTTAAGAGGTTACAGAGAAGATATGTCGGAGACTTTAGGGGTAGTATCAGATTAAACTGAAATACAGTGGGAAATCCCCAAATAAAGAATCTCAACACGTAATTTTCACAACATGTATTTCTTATTTATCATTGTGCTGCAAATATATTTTTTTAAATTTATATAGGATGGCAATAAAATATTTTTTAAATAGCCTTTTTTAATGAAACTCATTGATATTCCTACATTTCACTGGTCTCTACTAATTTAATAACATGAATTTAAGTCTGTTAAAAGAAGTCGCAAATCTCTCTTTACACATTTGCATTTGTTTTCATTGCCCTTTTAGTAAAGGCACCACTGGAGTGGACACTTTTTCGGCTAAACTCTTAGAAATACTGTTAAGTAATTTAGCTCTTTCCAAGAACTGGGCATGCAAATCTTAACTGGGTCCCAAATCTTTCAAAATTAGATAGATTTAATTGCTCTTTGCCTTCAAAGTTTTGATTTTTTTTAAAGCTCAATGAACTCTTTCTAGAAATGCTGGCTAGTGTTCCATTGGTTTTGAAAGTATTAATTGTCCAATCAAGTATTGTAAATTTGTTCGACCTTTAAATCTAATCAATGAATTGCAAAATTAATTTGAAAAGCAAAATTTCCAACCCAGTGCTTTTAAGCAGTAGTCTCCCACCAGGGAGACTTTTTCTCTGGAGCAAGGCCGTGGGATCGATCTTTCACAGCCCCTCGAGGCTCCGCCCCTCAGTGCTCCACGCCCCTCCTCTTGGCACACACCGCCTGCATGGAGGGCATCGGACGCCGAGCGGAAGTGACGTACAGCGGCCGCCGGAGGTGTCGTTGGTGTGTTGCGCGACTGCCCTCTGAGGGAAGCGAGACCTGATCGTGGAGCTGGGCCTGAGCCCGGAAAGACATCGCAATGTCGATCGAAATCGAGTCCTCGGAGTGAGTCTTGCAGTGGCGGGTATTCGCGGACTGGCAGGGGCCGGAGGTGAAGGGTGTGGGGTGGAGGATGATCAGGAGGGGGCGTCCGAGAAGCTAGGGAGTGGTACGGCATTTCCTTGCCGACAGTGCTTCTTCCATCTGTCTACATCGGAGGCGGGCCCGAAAGAAAGAAGCAACTCTTCGACGTGAAGCCCAAAGCCCCGCGAGAGGCGGCACGGGGCTGAGGGAAGGAAACACCTTGAAGACCCGAGTTCTAGCTCTCGCTCTGTGACTCTGAGCAAGTGACAGATCACTCTGGACTCCAGTCTGTCTGTGCGACGGGGGGTGGGGGAGAGGGGCGAGGATGGACTCTAAGCCTTCCTTCTCTTCCCGCCCTCCTCAAGCAGAGGATTCATTCCCTCCTCTCTGTTTACGTGGCCCCCCTGCTTTGCTCAGCACTTGTTTATTTGTCTGCCCACCCACTACCCTGAGTAGGCACTTAGAGGCTCTTTTACTTATAGTCCCAGTGCCGAGCATACCGTAGAGGCTCACTTGCTGCTTTTGGGATGAATGGACAGCTATTTTATCAGTCTGTCTGGTGCTGAAGTGTGGCTAGGCTGAACTATATGTAGCCACAAAGGAGAGACAGAATCTGGAGATTGGGCCTGGAGAATGATAGATTAGGCATGGATGGGAACTAATGAATGATTAAAGATGGTCTTTAGTGGACTTCTACAGGACTGCACCTTACTCCCTGTCCTTGCCAACACTCAGTAATTAAGTCAGTAGACATAACATTTGTGTCCTTAGGGTACCTGCCCTGAAGACGTGTCATAGGAGGAAGGGAGGTTTATTCATTCAACACGTATTGAAGTCTGTGTGCCAGTTGCTGTTACAGATGCTGGGAACACAACAGGGAACAAAACAGACAAAATCCTTGCCTTTATAGAATGTATGTTGTGATTGGGGAAGACAAACAGACAAAAATAAAAAGTAAAATATGAAGTTAAACAGATGGTGGTAAGTGCAGCGGAGAAAAATGAGGCAAAGAAAGGTGATACAGAGTGCTGGAGATTAAGACAACCGAGTCAGGGGAGGAGTCAAATGCACTGCATGTTTTGGCCCCTGGATGATAGCAGACCCTGACCATTCTCCATCCTTAGCACCCTGGCTGTAGCAGCAGGGGCTGCTGCATGTTTTTATCATCAGTAATAGCTGTTACTAAGCACTTTCTTTGCTAGGCACTCTATAAATGGTATCATCAACACTTTCAACAATCCTACAGAGTAGTTTTTTTTTTTTTTTAAAAAACAAAACAGGTGAGGAAACAGTCTCAGAGATGTTAACTGACTTGCGCAGCTAGTAAGTGACAGAGCTCTGATTCAGATCTTAGACTAGTTCCAAAACTTTTAGTGATTTATATATTACATTGTGTTTGGAGGTAGGGACTTTGATTTTGCCTGTGTCAAGTATGAAGTATTTGGGTGAGGATCTCATTTTGGGAGTGCAAAGTGGAGATCAGTGGAAGTGTGCTGAGGAAGATAATGTGGTACTAGAATAGCAGGGGTCTGAGCCTGGGCCACCTCTAAAGGGTACATGAGAGAGAGATGATATTTTAATACAGCTGCCAGTAATAGTAGTCAGCTTCCTTTTGTAGGCATTTTTACAAAGAGGGTGGTTACTTTCCTGTCAGGGATGTATTTTCAAGAGTCAGGCTGCCAGATTTGAATCCTCATTTTTCCACTTGGTCAAATCTTCATCTGTAAAATGGGGATAATAGTAAAACTTATCTAATAGGGTTGTTTTGAAGAGTAAATGAATTAATCTGTCTAAAATGCTTAGAACAGCATCTGATATGTAGCAAATGTATAGTAAATGTTGGTTATTGTTTTATGATTATTATTTCTCCCCTGGGGAAGGGAATTGACTAAATTCCAATCTGAAATTCTTCCCAACCAAGATGTCTGGTCCTCTGTACTGGTATGGTCCAGTAGAAATGTAAGCCACATAGGTACTTCTAAATTTTCTAATAGCCACATTTTAAAAAGTAGAACAAAACAGGTGAAATCAATTTAATATATTTTATCTAACCTAATATATATAATATTATTTCAACATGTAATCCATATAAAAATTATTGAGATAGTTTACGTTTTTTTGGTTACTAAGTCTTCGAAATCTGGTTTGTTTGTTTTTTTTCACTAACAGCACATCTCAATTTGATTGCTCAGTTTCTATAGGAAATACGTGATGTGTTTAGATTTCATAAAATTTACAGTTGAAAAAGTAGATTCTTATACCCAAGTTGTTCCAACATATATGAGTGTTTTTCACTACTGAATCAAGTATCAGTTTTCAAAATTAAAATTAAAAATGCAGTCCTTCAGTCACTCTAGCCATATTTCAGGTGTTCAGTAGCCACTTGTGGCTAGTGGCTACCATATTAGACAGTGCAGCTTTATACCAGCAGTCTTTATACAGGGCACAGTGAAGCTAGTGTCTTGAGAAGGGTACTATATGCTTGGTTTCTTTGCAGGCAGATGGGTGGGAGCAGAGAGGAAGGAAGAAGAGGAAAACAGTGTATCACAGTGTCATCCAGTGAACTTGTACAGTCTGCGTGAACACATTCTTCACAAGAATTTCTGTTATTAAGTCCAAGATCAAGAAGTTTTAACTATTAAGTAACAAGTTTCCTGTCATATGTTGAAAATGGTTGCTTGTTTCTTCCAGTATTTGGAAATTGTTCTCGGGAAACTGAACTCACACTTTTTGTTTCACTTGTTCTGAAAGTTTGGTGATAAAGGCAGTGGGAGGTGTTATTTTTGCAAATGAGGACGCATCGCTTTTTGTTTTGTTTTTACAGTACAGTTCTACATATGTGTATTCAACAAATTCCCTTTAAGAAAATTTCAATTCATAGTTTTTTTGGTTGTCATCTAAAAAATGGATTGAATTATACTATAGTCGTTTAGGTTATTTTGTGTCAGTGACTAGGCTAGGTTTAGAATATTTCACTAGAGTGTGCGGCAGTATAATTCTAAGTATTAATAAAGTGGGCATAGTAAAAAGACCCCTGACCTAGGAAGTAAGAAAGCCACTTTGGTATCAACTCTCTTTCTAGCTAGTTGTAAGACATTGGGCAAATTATTTTCCCTCTCTGAACCCCAGTTCTCCCATCTCTGAGATGGGAGAACTAGATGATCCCCAGGGTCCCTTTTAACTCAGATTTGGTGATTATTGTAAAGTTCTGCTCACATGAAAAAGAGATGAAAAGTAGGTGGTGAAAGGAGACTGACTAGTATGGAAAAATAGACTAGGATGGGGTTTATTTTGTGGCCTATTTGGCGAGCAAGGATCCCTGAGCTGACTGACTTGCTTTTTTCTTGCAGTGTGATCCGTCTCATCATGCAGTACCTGAAGGAGAACAGCTTACATCGGGCGTTAGCCACCTTACAGGAGGAAACGACTGTGTCTTTGAATACCGTGGACAGTATTGAGAGTTTTGTGGCTGACATTAATAGCGGCCATTGGGATACTGTTTTACAGGCTATACAGTCTCTGAAATTGCCAGACAAAACCCTCATCGACCTCTATGAACAGGTAGGAGTGGTGGTGATTCGGATCCCTTGTGTTGGCTTATTGTGGAACCACTGTCTAGGAAGCATCAGTGAGCATTCTTTACAGAGCTATATGGCTGTAACAGCGTGTCGTAGTTATCTAGTGCTGCTATAGCAGAAATACCACAAGTGGATGGCTTTAGCAAACAGAAATTTATTCTCTCACAGTCTCTGAGGCTAGACGGCCCAATTCAGGGCATCAGCTCCCGGGGAAGACTTTCTGTCTGTTCTGGGGGAAGGTCCTTGTCATCAGTCTTCCCCTGGCCTAGGAGCTTCTCAACGCAAGGACCCCGGGCCCAAAGGATGCACTCCTCTCCCAGTCCTTCTGTCTTAGTGGCATGATGTCCCTCTCCTCTCTACTTGATTCTGTCTCTTATATCTCAAAAGAGACTGACTCAAGATACAACCTAATCCTGTAGATTGAGTCCTGCCTCATTAACATAACTGCCTCTAATCCTGCCTCATTAACATCATAGAGGTTAGGATTTACAACAC